AGGTGGAATGGGGGCCAGATAATCTCCCTTCCCCCCCTTGCTCTGTCCCACGGCTCAGGAAATTGTAATCCACTTCTGGGTGCAAGTCCATCATTAACTGGGGGTGGGGGGGGAAGGGCATGTCAGTGGCTCAGTGCATAGGAACTAGACCCATCTGTTGTACAACCCCCCTGGGCTCACATTCCCTATCGCAAGAACAAGCCTCCTCTTGGCCTCTCTTTTGGCTCTGGTATTGAATTAGTTTGCTGCCCCTGCCTCGCCTTAGAGCAGGGCGGTAGAAGCAGCACGTTTCCTGTGCGGGGATGCGATGCCCTCTGGTGGCAGTAAAGGGTAAAAGTGCAAATGTCCCCTCAACATCCCTGTAGCTGATGTGACCAAAGCGTGCGCTGACTGAGGTGTGTGTGAGAGAGAGAGACGTTCCTGGGGCTCATGCCCTCACCATGGCCCCATCGCCTCTACACAATTTACAGACTTGCCAGGGAGGCCAATGACGTTCCTGGGGCTCACGCCCTCACCATGGCCCCATCGTTGCTACACAATTTACAGACTTGCCAGGGAGGCCAATACGGTCAGTGAAACAAAGGGCCACGCAAGGGCCGAGCAGTGAGAAGAGAGAGGCATCTGTGAGTAGGCAGCATCCTGTGCAGATGCAGGTGCTAGTGCAGAAGCATTGCTGGTGGCACATAACTAACATTTTCCATTAGCTACTACAGCTGTGTCTGCCTGGGCCCATTGTGTGACTTCTGGGCCCAGCACCTTTCACTCATGCTGGTGGGTGCATTAGCAATGGTGGTGGTGGTGGTGGGGGGGGTTGTTTTAAGTATCTGTTGAGTGTAATGCCATAGGTGCAGCATAAGACTGACCGTGCATTGTCTGAAAAAGGCTGAGGCGGACAATCGTGGGGGAGTGGAAAGGGGCTGTGAGCTATGAGCAAGGCCCTTTAATGCACAGTGAAGCCTAACCACGTACCACTGCCATGTGAAGCTGCCTCCAAACTATGGGTATACCTGACAATATGGTGCTTTTAGGTCGGTTTTTACAGGTCTCCAATTTGAACAGCTCTGTGCCACCTGCCACTAACGGGCCCTAGAAGGACTTTGCTGGTGGTGGAATTGCAGTTGTATCACACCGTAAGCCTTGGCTTAGCTTTGCTGGCCGGTATTGCCCTGGCAATGCAAGTCCTGCTGTCCCAGGTTTGTCAAGTAGACATGTGCAGTGGCAGATGTGTGGTGAAATGGCTGTGTGAGTCCTCTTCCCCCTCCTTTCCCTCCACAGGGCCCAGTAGTTACACCGTGGGCACCATGTCGGAGCGCTTTGATTGCCACTACTGCCGTGACGCGCTGCATGGGAAGAAGTATGTACAGAAGGAGGGGCGCCACTGCTGCGTGAAGTGCTTTGAAAAATTCTGCGCCAACACCTGTATCGAGTGCAAGAAACCCATTGGGGCTGATGCCAAGGTACAGTGGGGCAGTGCATTTGCAAAGACGTAGCCAGTGGCTTCCAACTGGATTGTGGTGTGCGGCAGTCACTGGGTGGTTTAATTGCCCTCATTTTATTTTAAAAAGTGAGAAAGAATGGGGAGGAAGGAAAGTGGCATAATAGGGCTAATGCTATTGGCATGAAGAAAGGCATTGGTGATGCAGACGTCACTGTACAGTACAGGAACACCTTCAGAGGATTAGTACCGGAGAGGAGGGAAAGTGCTTGAAGCATGCTACCTGGGAGCAAGGTTCCCACTAATTTTTTTTCCATCCATTTATGAAATAAATTTTGTTATGTGCTCTGAGGCATGTGCACCACCAGTGGAAACACATGCTGCCAGCTGTGGGCACTCTGCTCATCAGCTGGGCAGCACCTGAATCGCTCCTGAGTGGCTGCCCAAATGCTCAAGTTACAGGGAACGCTGCTAGGGAGGCTGTTCGGAGTGCAAAAGGGTGGTTTGAAAGAACAGACCAACCTAGGAACGGATAAAGGGAGCAGCATGGGGAGGAGAGTTGGTGAGGCAGCCCTGATACAACCTTGTGGATAAAGTGGAGGGGGAAAAGAAGCTATGGAATGTGAGCGGACCTGGAGAAAGAGGGTCAGGCTTTTGAAGGGGGTGACAGATAACCAAAGGCTAGCACGTTAACATCAGGCTCACAGTCCATTCCCCACACCCAGCATGCAGCTGTACTTTTCCTCTTGTTACCCAAAATTTTTATTTGAAAAGCAGTTATGGACCATGCATCCAGCATGTGTCCATCAGCTCTGGACTTCTGCTGCCACATGGGAAAGTCTTCTGTGAAATCCGAAGTTCTAGTGAGATGGGCAGGGGTTAAATGTCACTGCCTCGACCAGGCAGCCACAAATGTGGGGTGAACAAGGGCAAAACTCCCACTTTTAGCCCAGGCAAAACATCACAATTTGCCCAGAAGCAGCATTTCTAGGGTTTGCCCAGCATAACCGTGGTTAGCAAGGAAGCTTAGCTGCCCACTTGCCTTTTTAAGACAGCACCAGTAAATCAGATACTTTTCTGTAAGTTAGGCCTAGTTAAAGGTGAAAGCCCAGCTCCCCTCAGGTTTCCTTCTAACTGCATGGAGATTGGCAAGAGCAAATGCCCCTGGGGTGCATTGCATTGGGTTTGAAACATCTCCCCTCACTGGAACCCAGCTTCAAAGTGTGCCAGGCTCAACACAGTGCTTCAAAGAGAGAAATAGATTTAAGTACTGTACAATCTACTCCATGTGGACCTTTCAAACAAGAGCTTAAAAGCCAAGAGCCTGTAGACTGATGGCTATTAAAGTTATCCTGGCATCCATGACCAATACTTCCTGTTCTTCCACTGGTGTTTGGTGTCTGTTTGGCTGCTGCCCTCCACCCCAGAGCTGGCTGTCATGGCAGACTTGCATATGTTGGCAGCTAAAATAGGAATGTATTTGGAGTGACAAGGGGCTACAGTAATGTCATTAGAACATTTGTGTTTTAGGAGATGGGAGGGGTTTAATGGCATTATACGATGATGCATTTTTGTTCTTCTTGTTCCTAGGAGCTGCATTTCAAAAACCGCTACTGGCATGATAGCTGCTTCCGTTGCTTTAAGTGCTACACATCTCTGGTTAACGAGCCCTTCATGCTAAAGGAGAACAATAAAGTTTGGTGTAGCAACTGTGGTGCTGCTGAGGGTGCAAACAAATGCAAAGGTTGCTTCAAAGCTATTATTGCAGGTACTGCTGCTGGTTACCTAGCTCGGTGTGTGGGGTCCAAATCTAGGGTGAGATGGCCTGATTGGTATAGTCAGCCCTGATATTCGGGGCTCTCTCTTTCCCAGGCATCTGTTACCCTCACCTGCCATCCCCATTTTTCACACTTGTTAGCTGGTCACTGTATCTGACTCACTGACTTGGGGGGGAGGGGTCCCATCCACTAAAAACAACCAAGCCCCGGAAGGCAGCAGCTAATGGGCATGCACCAGCCTGGCTTACTCAGGAAGAAGATGGACCTGAGAACACAGAGAACTGGGCCTAACCTCACTGTCAGGAGTTATGCAAGGGCCTGGGTGACTGACACTTGCTTAGCTGGTTGTATCTTTACATTTTTCCTGTGATTTGCCTTTATCTCCACCTCCTTGCACTTACATTTTACACCAGCACGTGGTTTTTAATCCTGGTCTCTTAAAAACAACAGAGAGCAGAGCCAGGATTTTGAAAAGTGCTCAGCTTCCATCTAGGCAGCAGAACCACATTTTCAAAAGAGCTCAGCCTGGTCCATGCTGAACCTTCCTGGCCATAAGTGTTCCAGTGGGCATGGCTGGGTACTTTGGAAAACCAGGGGATTCAGTGGAGCCCAAGCACTACTGGCCTTGTACGGTCCTCAGCTTTATTTTAATAAGGTTGGCATTTTGCAGCTGTGCTCCAACAGGACGTGGCCAGGACAAACTCACCAGGGCTCTTACAGGGGATTGTTAGGACATAAGAATGGTCATACTTAGTCAGACCAAAGATCCAGCTAGCCCAGGATCCTGACTTCTGGCAGTGGCCAATGCCAGGGGCCCCAGAGGAAATGAACAGAACAGGGAATCATCAAGTGATCCCTCCCCTGCTGCCCATTCCCAGTTTCTGACAGACAGAGGCTGGGGGGCACCATTCCTACCCATCCTGGCTAATAGCCATTTGGACACATCCACCATGATTTTTGTAGTTCTTTTCCAAACCCTGTAATAGTCTTGGCCTTCACATCCTCTGGTGTAGAATGCCTCAGGTTGACGGTGTTGTGTGAAGAAATACTTCCTTTTGTTTCAAACCTGCTGCCTGTTAATTGAATTTGGTGATCCCTAAACCGTAGTGATGAATAACACTTCAGTATTTATTTTTTCCACACCCTCATGATTTTAGAGACCTCTATCATATTGCCCCTTAAGTCATCTCTTTTCTAGGCTGAAAAGTTAATTTTAGTAATCTCACCTCATACAGAAGCTGTTCCATACCCCTAATTTTTGTTGCCATTTTCTGAACCTTTTTTAATTCCTATGTATCTTTTTTGAGATTGGGTGTCCACGTTTGCATGCAGTATTCAAGATGTGGGTATACTATGGATTTATATAGCAGCAATATGACATTTTCTTATTATCCATCCCTGCCAGTGATTTCCAACCTTCAGTTATCTGCATGAGTGTTCATGCAGCCATGGCCCTGGAAGCATTTATAGCGACCTACATGGGCTGAACAAATTCCTGTACTCGTAACCTGTTGCTTTCTGTTGCAGGTGACCAAAATGTTGAATACAAGAAGTCACATTGGCATAAGGAATGTTTCACATGCAGTCAGTGCAAGCAAGTGATAGGAACTGGCAGCTTCTTCCCCAAAGGAGACGAGATCTTCTGTGTCTCTTGCCATGAAGATAAGTTTGCCAAGCTGTGTTTTAAGTGCAAGAAAGTAAGTCACTGGGCAGTTGTTGGATTGGGAAGTTCTTGGATTTCCCCTTGCCTATAGGAGCATTGAGTTGAGCAGAGGAGCAGGAGAACAAGCTGGACTTACCCGAACCATTTCTTTTTAAGGGAGAACATCACGCACTTGAGCCAAGATTTCACTGCAGTTGTCCTAGCAGTAGCATGACACTCAGGCTGTGTCTAGACTGGCCAGTTTTTCTGGAAAATCAGCCGCTTTTCCAGAAAAACTTGCCAGCTGTCTACACTGGCCACTTGAATTTCCGCAAAAGCACTGACTTCCTACTGTAAGAAATCAGTGCTTCTTGCGGAAATACTACTCTGCTCCCTTTCAGGCAAAAGTCCGGGTCAGTGTAGACAGCTCAGATTTGTTTTCTGCAAAAAAGCCCCAATCGCGAAAATGGCGATCGGGGCTTTTGCAGAAAAGCGTCCATGCCAATCTAGACGCTCTGTTCTGAAAATGCTTTTAACGGAAAACTTTTCCGTTAAAAGCATTTCCAGAAAATCATGCCAATCTAGACTCAGCCTCAATGTTTTTCCAGATGCCAGTATTTAAACAAAGAGATTCAGACTTAGTATCTTGACTCCTTTATCTAAAGGAAAGCTTCCCTAAGTAACACACACAGCAAAGCAACCACCACCCTCACTTCCACTGCTGGAAAGTTGACAGATGTTGTTTGCATTTATATTGTGAACAACCAAGGCTGTAAAATATTTGTAACACTTAACAGCTGAGACATTTTCCTAGGAGCTCCTGGCCAATCAGAGTTCAGCACAGAGAAACTCAACCAGCTTTGTGCTGTGTCTTTCACTCAAAATCTCTCATAAGGGAAAATCCTCTAGATCACTGTGTGAGGACAGGGGAGCCCGACTCCACAAGCACCCTAACCACAGCAAGCTCCTTTTGCCCCGGCAGTTCTGAGCCCTAACCTGCAGTGATTTGCTCTGGTGGTCACAGCATAATGCTTCTCATAATGTTCGTCTCTATCCTAGGCCATAACTTCTGGAGGACTCACTTACCAGGAGCAGCCTTGGCATTCTGAGTGCTTCATCTGTACTGGCTGCTCAAAGCAGATTGGTGGGAAGCGCTTCACAGCTGTGGAGGATCAGTTCTACTGCGTTGATTGCTACAAGTCCTTTGTTGCCAAGAAGTGTGTTGGCTGCAAGAGCCCCATTACAGGTTGGTTGGTCAATTAGTACAGACTGAGACTCAGCAAAGGCAGTGTTGTTTTATCCAGCCCTTGCTCCCTCTTAAGGATTTGTCCATGCTCTCTCTCACTTCTTTGCCCTGACACCTTCCTCCCTCAGGCAGTCACTTGAAGAATAGGCTTAAAACAGCAAGAAGCAAGTAGACTTCATTGTGGCTAAAAGTGATGTAACAAATTACAGTAAGAAAACAGGAGGCAGATAGGTGGATGCAGTTTGGTTCCTTGGTGATGTTCTGTTGCACACAGTGTAACCCATTTTAAGTAGCAGCTAGTAACCCAGACCTGCAGAATAGAGTGCGAGCTTGCTTCCTTGTGGATAATCTGATACAGGAGTGAAGTGGACAGCAGCTGGTGTTTTCCTTAACTCCAAAAACTCCTATAGAAACATTGTATAGAAGTGATTCAAAAACCCAAATGGAGAATAAAATACAGGACTATGTAGCACTTTCAAGACTAACAAGATGGTTTATTAAACAAGATGGTTTGATCTGAGGAAGTGGGTCTGGCCCACGAAAGCTCATAATCTAATAAACCATCTTGTTAGTCTTTAAAGTGCTATATAGTCCTGTATTTTGTTTCAGCTACACCAGACTAACACGGCTACATTTCTACCAAATTGAGAATGGTTTTTGGACCTATCCAAGCATTCTTATGGGACATATGATTTGCTAGTGCATATATCTAAAAAACCCAATCTATTTTCCTAAAGCCACCAATTTATCCTCCAAATCCCACATCAACTCCTCTCCCATGCAGCACGTACAAAACTGCAGTCTGATGCTGGGAACGCAGTGGGCAGGCTGTTAGGTTCTCTCTGTTGTCTGGTCAGTTGCAAACTCTATGGGGTCAGGTACTGTTTTGAATACATTGTAAATCTCCTAGCACAACAGGGCTCATGCTGGTGGAGGCCTTCAGATTTGGGCATAAACAGGAGAGGCACCAGAGTATTAATATGTCAATTAAGTGGCAATTCTATTGTATGCGGTTCTGAACTCCCAGCAGCCACAATTAGCAGGGTAATCATGGTACGTGAGTTTGGGAAGGTGGATTAAATATTAAGTCAGCTGAGGGTATCACAAGTGAGGCCCCCTAATTGCTGACATTTAAATCAAGCAGGGGGCATGTATGCACATGTATTAAAAACTATTTTACAGAGGGATTGGAAAGAGCAACTAGGAGTCCAGGCCCCCTGGGGAGCTGCAAGCAGGGCCAGCATTAGCCTTGCTGGGGCCCAGGACAGAAAGCCAAAGCCTGTCTCAATGGGGCCGAAGCCTTACCTTTGCAGGGGTCCCTGTGGCATGGGGCCCCAGGCAGGTGCCCTGCTTGCTACCCCTTAATACTGACTTGGGCTTTTATATATATAAAACCTGCCATGTGGTACAGATAGGCAGTGGAGTTTTTATTATCACGTTGGGGGCTAAAGGGCTCTCAGTAAAAAGGTTGAGAAGACCTGATTTAGAGGGCATGTCACAGCAGGAAAAGGCTTTTTTTCATTGCAGGATTGACAAAACCGGAGCCAGGTGATCAGTGCTGGAGGAGGGGCAGCAGCCAGTCAGGATCGGATTCTGATTTTTGCCTCGAGTCCAACCAGGCTCTAACATGGGCTGGGAAACTCCTTTTTTTGGGGGGTAGAGGATTTTTGATGTATTTGTAACTTTGAAACAAGCCAGGGTTAAAAGTGGAAGTTGTCAGGACAACGTGGGGAGTGAGGTGCAGCTGAAACTTAAAGGGGGCTGAATGCACCAAAAAAGCCACATTCCAACTGCTGGGGTCTTCACCAGTCCTTTACCAGCAGAGTTTGAAATGGTTTGCTGAGGTAGACAAGATAGAACAGGGCATCTGGGACCCAGTCTAGCCCCTGCTATGAAGTCTGGTGGATTTCTTTCTGGCACAGCAGCACTGTTCTTTCCAGGAAATCAACCAACCACCTCTATTCTTTCTACAAGTCAATAGAATTTAGCAAAGGATGAGTTAATCAGATTGCTTTCAATAGAATAGAAATTACTGTCGGTCATAACTCTGTATCTTTCCAAACAGGGTTTGGAAGAGGATCCACCGTAGTCAGCCACGAAGGCCAATCCTGGCATGACTATTGTTTCAAGTGTACCAAATGCTCCCGTCCTTTGGCTAACAGGCGCTTTGTCTATCATAATGAGCAAATTTACTGTGCTGACTGTCCCCATAGACTGTAAGGAGCAGCTTCAGCCTTTGCTGTAAAATGGATCAGAGCCTTGCTCTTATAACTGAGCTGCTGCTTCAGGGCCTGCTAAAGGAGCAGGAGCATGCATATTAAACCCTGCCTTTTTCCATTTTACAGAAGGGGGCAGCCCTCCAGCCCCACCATATTTCAGCTTGTTTGATTTTAGACGTTAAGGTTCTGCAGTAACAATTTACTCAGTAGTAAAACTAATGTTGCTTTCAGGACAACCATTAAGATAAAAGCTTGAGATGCCAGAACGTTAGGTATAGCTATAAATATCTAACCATTGCCTCTTCTGCATTATTAGCACAGAGTAAAACAAAAGCTGATTTTGTAACTTATGGTGAAGTTTGACACTTAATGAAATAGTTTTTGACAAGGAACATACAAATCTTTGCACTCACTGAAACCAAAAAAAACCCAGCAGTGAGGAGATGCAATGATCACACCCAGGATCATAGATATGGTGCTTCATAATTATGCATTCACGAGTACTTTATACACAGACATGCAGTTAGTAGCTGCACATTAATTGCCTTTGCTTATACTAAACTATAAAGCAACTTACAACAAGTATATGGTATGGCTTTTGTTTATCATGTATAGTTCATGTTTTACTACTATAGTTTAGCAAGGGAGAACGGTAAAACAGATTGATGGCAATTTTAACTTAAGGTTTACTACTCCTGATTTTAAATTGGCTTGTCAGCGGGTTTTGCTTACCAGCTTTTTTACTTTAATTATGCTGTACCTACCTGGTTTACTGACTATCTTCAAGAAGTTATTCTTTCAAACATATAATGAATGTATATGCATTTTAAAAACATTGTAGGAGACCTCTACCATGTCAACAAGTTATTTTAAGATCATATAATAAAAATTAGATTAATGCTTGTTTGGATTCATGAAGTCTGGATGTTTGTGTTTCTTCACTGGTTTTCATGGGAAACAAGAATTCAAGGAGTGGCTCCCCAAGTCACTCAGATCCCCCCCATTATACTGTAAAAATAGTCAACTCACATAAATGTCATTGAGGCACAAAATAAACTTGTTTTGGGGACATGCTCCATCCTCCATTGCAATCAACACTGAGCGCTAACACCCTCATGTTTAAATGTTTAGTTACTGTAAAATTAACCTCAAAGTGGTGTCTGCCCATCTGAAATCCCTCTTCCAAATGTAAACTATTTTAAAAATGGTGCAGCTTGAGCAACATTAAGCCATCTTACCTCCTTGAATTTTCATTGTGATTCAGGGCAGGCACAGGGCATAGCAGGAGTTATAAAACACATACAATGTTTTGATGAGGGCCACAGTGGGAAGCTGAGCAGTGCCTTGAACACACAGGGATAGGGTGACTAGATTCCAAAATACTCCTTTGTTATTCTCTGACTATGCTCTGCCTCAGGACCTTATTCAAAGTTCAAACCATTGCCCTTTATTGGGCAACGAATCAGTGTTAGCAGAGGCAAGGTAATAAACCCAGCCTTCCTCAATGGAATCTCAGGGCACCAAGGCTATATAGCATATAAGCAATTTTTTTAAAAACTGGTTTCTGTTGCAAGTGGAGCTGCATTTTTAAAGAACACATTAAGTGGACTGCTCTCTCTTTTTGGAATTCTGAGAAAAAACTGGACAGTTGTAGGAGCACACAGTTTCTTCATACACTCGCAAAACATTTGGACGTTAGAGTAAGCCATTTTACAGCACATTTTGATCTTTGAACAAAATAAGAAACGTGTGGCCCTGACGTACTCAATTTCTTGACCCTTTTTCCAATATCATAGCCGTGATAAGGCTCACTGAACATCTTTTATCATAACTCCGATCTTACCACATTTAGAGGCCAGAATTTAACAGCCTAATAAAGAAGTTACGTTGTACTATAAACTGACTAATCTTTAATAAACATGGATTTTTGTGATAGGATTTATCCTTGGGCAAAGGAAAGTGTCAAGTTTAATAGTACCAAAGTACCAACATATCCTTTCCAAAGCTTGTGGTCTGGCATTTCATTAAAGGAAGTAATTTCCTCTGGGTAATTAAGCTTATGTTAACTTGTAAGAGGCCATTATTCATCCAGGTAATGATAAATGGACTTCAGATAATCAGACTAGTAACAGTTTAGGGCAAAGGGGTTGCTGACAATTACCTACCTATGAAATTTCTAGTCTATCATTGTTGGTGGTTTCTATTTAAATTTGCAGAAACACTTAATGGCAGGACTATCATCTTGTATGTGTTAATTCTACATTGCAATAGCATTAATGGCTGGAGCTATTTTAAGTCACAAGAACCCTGAAATCAAGGAAAAAAATACTCAGTTCCAACTTTTCCCTATTGATTTATGTAAAACACACATTTGAGTGCGTTAACAGGAAACACATGAAAATAAAATTAGCATTAGGGGATTACATCTTCCAACCATCCTTAAGAATTTCTATAGACTATTGAAGAAACAACAATACGAACTAGACCTAAGTCACTTTGGCAAGTTCTTTGCCTCTCTCTTATGGCAGTGATCCCCAAACTTTACTTCATACTACCCTCACTTCTATTTGCCCCCTTCCTCCCCAAGCTATGGCTGGGAGTGAGGGGACACACACAGGGGTAAGGAGACAGAGACTAGGGCCACAGCTCGGGGTGGGAGGGGGAACCCTGCCACACCATCTCCCTCACATACAGTTTGGGGACCCCTGCCTTATGGAGTAGATGACAACTATAACTAATTTACTAAAAAGGTATCAGGATTAGAAGCCTATTTAGATCAGAGTACACAATAAATTGAAGCCCGTGGCTCTAATGAAATAATAATAAAAAAAAAGGAACCATTGAGTGCATATAATTTCACAGCAGGCCTACCAATGGGAGTGGAGGAGCGGGGAACTGAGCCAGTGCTTAAGTGATTGAAAGAGGTCTGGGGCTCAAGACAGCAGTGCTTGGTCCTTTAAATCTCTGCCGCAGTCCTGTGGGGCACACTGCAGAGCCCCATTGCTGCAACTGGGGTGAGTGGGGTAGCACAGTCCAGGCCGCTCTGAGGGTATGCTGCCCTGGTCCTGCCCCTTTTGCCTAAGGCTCTGCCCCTTCCAGGAGTGCAGAGCTGCCCCACCTTGCCCAGGGGCCCCGGCAAGTCTGTCTGCTTCCTGTGTCTCAGCACCTAAATTCACTGGAAACTGCCATTTGGAAGAGCAAGATGTATTGTCCAGTAATGCTTATATATCACCTTGTCCAACAGGAGCCACTAAGACTACCACAATTCAAATAAGAGTCTATCCAATCACATTTTATTTTAAAAGCAGCAATTAGTTTATGGAGTCTATTGCATATTAAAGTGATTGTTTTGGTCAACATTTTACTGCATTTCCAAGCAAAGCAGTGGAGGAAAAGCTTTGAGAGCCCTAGTAAAGTAATGTTCAATATTGCAAAAACCCAGTGCATTGTTCAACTGCAAAGTTTATTTAACTGTGCACATATATTTACATACAGCTGTAACAGAGCATTCAACAAATTACATCTGCACAGAAAAAAATATCAGCATCTTGTTTGTTAGAATGATTGTCTCTGCCAGAAACAGCTATTATACAAAAATACATTTTTCTCTCTTACCTAAGGCACTGCTCTAAGTCTAAAACAGTTCTACTATACCTGGAATAGCAAGGGGTTGAGAAAAAAGGAAGGAGGAGAGTTTCTTGTTTTAACTATGGTGTCAGAAAAGGAATATGTTTAGTTCCAGCAAAAACATTTGCAATTAAATATTGAAAATGCAGCTGCATTCAGATTATTGTTACTGAAGTGTCAGCTAAGAGATTTAATCAGGGTTTGAGAAAACAATTCTTTAAAGAAACCACTTATACAGTAAACTCTCTTACAGATGGGCATAAGAACAGGACTGCACTTACACTTTTTGTAGCAGCCATTTGCAAAAGATACTCCGTTCATCTCTTCATGCTGTAAAAAGCAAGTAACTATAGATTAAATTACTTTATGCAGCCTTCAGGCAAGGGAACATATATGCTATCTGCAGTCATTGTTATGAAGCTAGCACAGGAACTTGTAGAATAATTAACATGAACAAAGACCATGACTGAAATGGCCTAATACTGTTATGTACACAACAACATAATACTTACATGAGTGTAGATAAACTTAAATATGTCATTCCAATGAAAACATTTTAAAAAGCATGACAAATGTTAAACTGCACTATAACAAACATGTTTAGGTACTCAACATTTTCGCAGTATATTAGTGCATACATACTCACATATTGTAAAATTTTGGGACGCTCCAGTAACATTAAAATGTATTAATGATTGTACAATACTGTATTTTGACTACCTATATTTTCGTATTAGAAATAATCCAAAACTGTTTCTTAACCCAGTGTTGGATCAAAGACATAAGTGAGCAATTTAGCTTTTCTTAAATATCCTATTAGTATCATCAACTGTACAAAGATATCATAGGAAAATAACACAAATGGGATATGGTTTTAATATGCACAGAATGCATAACATTATTTTAAATTTGCCAACTGCCACTTCATAAATATGCAAAAATATTTGCCAGTGGTCAGCTGGTACATTTCCAATTGCACACAGGGACGGTACATCGCACTAACATGAAAATATGAGGACCTGGAGACAGGTTAGTGGAGATTTTGTAAAAAGAGAAAGTAATATTTCACAAGCAAAGCTTGTCCAATAGTCTGCTAAACAAATGGAAAAGGAACAGCAGCAAGGAAGTCTTCCTGAAAGTTTCCAAGGTGCAAATTTAGACGTTTATTGTCCCTTCCCTGCTGGTCTTTTTTGCAAGCTTGAAGACAGGTAAAGGTTAACAAGCAGCTTCTCAAAACAAGGCTTTCGGTACTTGATAAAACACTGGATTACTGAAGTGCAATCAGGTTATTTCCAGGACTCTAGTGTTCACAGTTCTGTCCAAAGAACAAAGAAGAAGCAGTTAATGTTCTCATGCAGTTAGGGTTGCCAGATGGTTTCAACAAAAATACTGGACACACTTGACATTACATCTTATGTAGAAAATACTGGACATTTATATTTTCCTCAAATTTTCCCCCAAACAGAAAGCTCAAATACTGGACTGTCCAGTTCAAAACCGGACACCTGGCAACCCTACTTGCGGTGCTGTATGAGCAGTATACAAGATGCCACGTACATCTGCAGTCTGTGTCAGGGGCCACATTTAACCTAGCTAGCAGCAGACTTGTAGCTTATCTATTTCACTAACTGGCAGATCAACAGTTTCTGTTTCAGGATAACAGCTGGTTAGTGTACATACTTGCACTTACCCAATCAAATATAATAAACTCAGTAAATTTTTTCCTGATATCAGTTTGTAAAATTATGTATATATCTGCTAAATCCTACTACCTTGAAATCATATCTAGCTGGATGAGGCCCAAAAAGCAGCCCAGCAACTATGATTTCTCTAATTAAATATACTCATCTTTTGTTTAATATCACTAGTTATTAACTGCAATTTGGAAGGACCATAGCAAGCGCAAGCCCAAGCCCTTTTACTCCATTTCACAGCCCAGTCACAATCTTTGACTCTCACCTAAGTGTTTAACAAGGGTGCACCCTGCAAAGGCATAATAAGTAACAAGTACATATAACACACACAAACATGGACATCTCTCCTGTGGGAACAAGACAGAGTAGACAGCTGTCAGGAGTTTGGGAAAGTTAAAGGCTTTGTGCTATGGCTGAAGAGATGACATGGGAAATGTAACCATCCCATTTCCACTGCACAACTTTTCCATTTAGGATTGTTCACAAGAGTCCTTGGCAGGTGGGTGGAAATCTCTTGTTTTCAAACTGGTGTGCTGGAGACCCTAACTTCTAATGTGCGTGTGTGTGTGGGGGGAGGGGGGAAGCTTATGTCCTATACCAGCTAGTTTCACTCTAGTCTCTGACCAACCACCATAATGATTAGTCACTGGCATGGATAACTACAAATGATCTGTGATAACACACATTACTTCTATTAGGCTGGTAATTCTTTCCTCTCCCTCCCCCCCGACTCCCTTCACACTCAGGCCTGATGTCTGTAGACTCTCATCTGTTTTTTGTGAACCTCGTTGCACAATTCCAATTTTGTTTCCATAATCTCAGGAGCTCTGTTTAGGATGAAACACTGGTTTTGATCTATTGTTCTCAACATTATGATCTCTAACAGCTGTTAAAAATTAACGCATTCTGTACTGAGTTTACCAGGAAGAAATCACAGTTCCTTATGAGCAAAGCACAACACTTCTCCCCTACTGCTTGCTGTCCAGTGCTGAGAGAAGAGGACTTGGTAGTCAGGACTCTTGGGTTCTTTCCCCACTTCTAATCACTAATTCACAGTGTGACTCTGGACAGGTCTCAACTTCTGTCCACTCATTGGTAAAAATCAGCAAAGCATCTACGTCACAGGCATAGGAGGCTATTTTTAAATGAAACGCAGCAAGTGCACAATATTAAATAATAATTTGTTCTAGAACAGACACCTGTTCATTTTATTCCCATATTAGTGCAGCATTCCCATATTAGTGCAGCATCTTTCATTCAGCACTAGCACCAAGAGTATGTCTGTTGTCAAATCTAGTCAAGTTCAAAAACATAAAAAAATATTTTTTTATATTCTGCAATATCATTTTTAAAGTTTATATTATGTTCTTCAATAAGTGCCAAGTAGCTAGCAGCCTTATAGATTTCAAAGAAGTCATTTTAAGACTCCAAACAGCTCAGCCCCTGAAAAGTACAAGAATATACTTAAGTAAAAGGGCAAACCTCAGAGGTCCAGCTCATTAAGGGCATGTCTACACTAGAAAATTGTTTCGAAATAACTCCTGAAATAACTATTTTCCCTGTAGTGTGGACACACTATTCCAGCCTCGAAATTAGTCTGAGCAGGCTCCCTTAATGTGGATGTGCTACCTTGATTAAGAGCCTCAGGAAGCACTGGGGAGTAATTACTTTGAATGATTCTGGGGAGTAGTTTATTTCAAAATAGCAGAAGTGGAGTGTCCACACTACTATTATTTTGAAATAACTATTGTGAAGTAAGTGCTATTCCTTGTGGAAAGCAGGAGTTATTTCAAAATAACCAGTCCCTTATTTTGAAACAACAGGGTTGGTAGTCTGGATGCTCCACTTGTTATTTCGAAATAACCCCCAGTGTAGACCAGGGCGAAGTGTTTTAATAGACAAATTTTTAAATGTTGCTGGTTATTTGGAGAGGTACAATAGCTTCATAGGTGACTGAATTGTACTTTTGGAAGAGCATTCATCAGGTGTGAACTTGCTGCAATGACTAAGTCCTTTCAAAAATAATCAATGAGTTACCTCTCTGATGAAAGGGAAATAAGTACAATAGTAAGAGAGCCTCTTGCTGATTTAGAGAACGAGATTCTAAGACAGTTACAGTATTTTGTGCCTTTTTTTTAAATACACATCAAAGTGTCTTTAATGTAGTGGGAGGTAAAAGGGAGATCAGCATACATTACCTGAGGCAGTCTCTAAAGGTTTGGTCAAGGAATTCACTGTGCCATCGTCCTCAAATGCCAATTTTGGACTAGAGGGAACCGTAGCAACATCATTCAAGTTTTGATTACAGTTATCAGCAGCAATGCTGTCTGAACTTAGTTTGGTAGACTTGGCATGTACTCCAAGATCAATAATTTCTTCAAAAGTCCATGCATTAGATTTTCCATTGAGATTTTGTATAAGTTCAATCGTATGATCAGCTTCATTAACGTGCAATATTTCTGAGTTCTGGATAACCATTTCTTTTGCTGAAGGTCTGGAGAAAGAGCACACATTTATTGAGAGTGCTGGACAGCTTACCCTTTTTTACCAATAGAAAAAGAGATGAGACAATTAGAAATCCACATACTCTCCCCAACAAATATTTTTCAGGATAAATTGCCCAATCTGTCATGTGATTGTTATTGGAGTCAGACCAGAAAAATCTGCACCAACATCCATTCACTCATTTCTGCACCCGTAACCATTAGATAAGAGCACAACTCCACATAATTAGTATAAAAAAGTCACAGAATCCATGTCCCTGCTTTAATAATCTATGTTTCTGCTTCATTTTTTGATTAATTTTTGATAGACACATGCATTTACTGGGTCTCAGACTACTCTGTGAAAGTTATATTCTAAACCATCAGTTTAAATTAATTTTGGAACATTTTGAGTTTATATTCAGGTAACTGAACACACATGGCAAGAACAGAAACTTTTCAGAGTGTAAATTCTAAAACGCCATTAGGATTTCAACAAGGAAACAGAACTGCCTATGATTCTGTAGGAAATTTTCCCTAGGACTGGAAACTATTTATTTATTTTTTAAAGAAAGAGAGAGAGAGAGATGAAAGTGTGAGATGTTAAAAACTTCACTTGGTGAGAATTTTAGTATGAGTTTGTAATGTTGTTTCATCTGAATTGGATGTGTCAAAAAACTGTAGACTCTGGATATTAAATATCAAGTAATTAACTATTCAATAGGACGCCCTAAGGCTGTTGCTACATTTCAAAGGTGAAAGCGCAGTGTGGAACCCAGCGTTAGCTGGGGACTCCCCCACTGACACCGGGCTCCATGTAGCGCTGCTGTTTTGAAACTCCGTGGGAGCCCGGCATCAGGCTCCTCGTGACATTTCAAAGCAGCAGCGCCCCATGGACCCTGGGATCATCTGGGGATTCCCCACTGACCCTGTGCTCCGTGTGGTGCTGCCACTTTGAAATGCCGCGTGCAGCCTGGGGACAACCTAGTGGCCCTGGGGCTGCTCACAGCATTTCAAAGTGACAGCACCTTGTGTAGCCTGGGATCCAGCCCCAGACTCCACACGGCACTATTGCTTTGAAGTACCCCCACCTCTTTCCCATAGAGGCAACCAGGTAGGAGAGGGGGGAAAGGAAGGGGAGAAAGCGAGTAGTCCTTCACGTCCCTACTGTAGACACACTACATTCTCTCTATTATTTCACTGTGGGATTTAGTAACAAAATTGACATCCAACCTCAGGGAAAACTGTTCAGGTTGTTGCTTTGTTTACAAGCGACTTAGGCATGTTTCTATTTGTATGTCAACACCTCGCAGTCCACTTACCACCACTGTTACCAGATTTACAGTGAGATATCTCCACTGACTTCATTAGTGTCAATCAAAACTTACATTAGATTGAGATGAATCACAATCAGCTCCAAAATACAATAATGTATAATTATACAAGACGGAATAATAATCTGTATTGTATTTTAGAACATTACATTGTTTTTTATATTTACAGTGGCATCTCTCATTTTTGGACACTAACTTCAAGTCTTGCCTAGAATAAACATCAGGTGTTTCCTGACAACTACCATAAAACCAGACAGTCTCAAAATTTTTTGCAACCTATGATCATTACTGAACACAAACTCTCTATATGAAGAATATTTAATTTTTTGCATAAATTATGATCAGCTGCAACCTTTACTTAGGACACTACCACACAGGCTCACCTGTAACCCATCAGTTGTGTAACATGCAAAGACTCCCCATTATTCTTCCTCTGATGAACGTCTTGCTCGTCTCCATTCGCAAGTACTTCATCTGCCTCCATATTTGACATATCTTGCACTGAAGATTCTTTAGAAGTCAAACCACATGCAAACTCAGAACTACATTCTGTCTGCACCTTCACTTCTTGAGAAAGGTTAACACCATTTATCTTTTCTGAAAGAAAGAGCACTGCAATACATTAGGGTTGCTATTCCAAATAAACAACACACAAATAAATGCCTAACTGGTCTCTCCTAGCTGGAACGTCCTGCACATATAATCTCATAACATCAACATGTCTAATGAGATACTGACTATAATGATACGGAAAAATATATTTATTTTAGAAGTGCTAAAAAAAATCGTAAATGTTACACTGCGTCCCCACCATAAGTGGCCCTGGTATACATCCGTTTTGCACTAAAGTTGTCAACACATCAGTTCCTATAAGCGTCAAGTCCTCCCATTCCCTGCTCTTAAATTGTGTGTGTGTGTGTGGGGTGGGACCCCATGGTTTGTGCAACTATAAGTCAGTCGCAGGAAAAAAATTCCTCGCTTTAAGTTGTTTCGCTGTAAGTCCAAGTTTTTTGGAACATATCTTGGATTTATAGTGAGGGCAGCCTATATTACGATAGCAGAGTCATCTCAGATGATACATTTCTTTTAGTTAACAATTTTGCCTAGCTTCTGCACTATGAAATAATCTATTCTCATTTAATGCATACCACGGCTATGGCTATTGTAGGAGTGGTAGTCTCAAATCATGAGAATTAACTTGCAATAAATATTTCCAACTGTTGAAAAGCTTTGTCAGAGGATACGTGAAACCACCAACTCCATTTATTAGGGAATCCAGATCCCACTAAGCAAACGACCACTCTGTTTTAGTGTTTAAGAATTTTAACTATTTTGGACCTCATTTAACCAAACATTGCATACCTGGTTGATGCGCTTTTTCAAAGCACAGCTCTCCTTCCTCTTCAGCATCCTCATCCTCCTCAGCTTCATTAGCAGACTTTTCTTCATTCTGCAACAGAAATCTGTATTACTGCTAATTTAAACTTTTGTAAGTAACACAGTATTTATCATGAACCACCCATATACTGTCACATAGGTCATGATTCAATACATTTTAAAAGATGTACATCTAGTTCACATGCTGCAGAAATGCTGGAGTATTTAAAGATTGCCCTGAGTACACTGAGTTAATATTGGTCATTGCACAGGATCCTTGTGCTATGACTAGAAGCTATTTCATGTCAGTGGAACTGAACCTAAAGATGTAGGTCAGGGCTACTCAACTTTGGAAGCCCCAGGGGATACGCTGATACTCAGAGCACATGCGGAGGGCTGCAACTTAAGTGTGGTTGCATATACATGCAAATATATATGCAAATAGCTTATTTCACATTGACGGGCATGAATACAAAAGTTAAGGCAAGACTACACATAACACAGGTCCCATTTAAGTCAGTTCTGCTGACATTAATAAAATGTAATATTTACCCCAATTCTACTCATATGACAGCACTTTTAATGAGCAATGACAGTCCAGGAATTTAACTACTAAAACACATATTAACAAAACACTACTTCTTTGTTTTAGCTTCCCCCTGTGGGCCAAACACGGCCCACGGGCCACGTGTTGAGTAGCCCTGATGTAGGTCATACTTCTGTGTGAGAAACATTCCATGGAAAGGTTCTAAAAATGAAATACGAGAACGCCTTGAATCTATATAGTGTCACAAACTAACAAGTACCTTGGCTTCATTCTGGTCTAACTTCCGAGTTCTTTTCATTATTTCTTCAATTCGCTGTTAAACAAATGGAAGTAAATTAGTCACGACACTGCAAAGGCTGAACTTTCAAAATTTGACATCTTTTATCAACTTCTGTATTGAAAGGATTTAAACATTCATTATTCTAGTATTTTAAAAGTTCATTTTTCTGAACAGAAACTAAAACATAAATCTAACAGTGTTTTTAAATGTAGTCACGTGACTGTTCCCAAAGCAGATGGTTTATTTAACTTTACTCACAAAATTGTTTTACACACTAGAGCCTCAATACACTTTAGGATACTTAAAAGACTTGAAAGCAAGAACTATGCACCTTTTTCCTTTCAAGTCTCTCCTGCATATTTTGCTGCATAATTCTCTCTCGCTCCTGCCGTTGTCTTTCAGCTTCTTCTTGGGCTTTTGTTTCAGCTTCCTCTCTCTAAAGTTAAGGTAGAGAATATGGGATCCAATACATAATTTAATCTTAAAGTGTCAGAGAGCTATTTTATCAGGAGATATTTTGTATAAGAGATAAATGGTTCTTACCACCACTTAATCATCTGTTGTGCAGTACTTGTAAATACTTATCCTAATCCTTAAAATATGAATTACTGATTTGCCAACTGATCCTTTAAAATTCACAGAAAAATTTTTTAGTTGAATGATTATCCAAGTTCTTTAGAAGACCCCTGAGCTATCTGAATAGTTAGGGCTTAAATGGACATTCATTCTGAAGTACAGGTTAAGGAAGATATTTTAAAAACCACAAGGAAAGCAGTTAAATTGTAAATATAGCAAAATTAATTAAAAACCTTCATAGTCAGATATTTGTATTTAAGATAGCTACCACTGACTATCTTAATGCTCATATTATAATCTATTTTTCACTACAATTGCAAGCTTTGATAGGGAGTTAAGAGGGTTCTTAACACCAATTTATTTTTATAACAATGTTCAGAACAGTTAAGTATGATAGAGACTCAGAATAAAAAGTTTATAACAGTTATAAAAGACAGTATACACTATAGATACAAAAGCTGTTAGAAATTCACCACACATTGACCAAGGCCCATAGGTCATGAAAACAAGAATACCTTTTCCACATTATACAGGCATTAATTAGCCATGAAAGGCAATATTTAGGGATTAGTAGCATTGTCAAGTATTTTCATTAGTAGTATTTGGGGGTTAGGGATCAGCATTCATGTCACTCTGTGCATAAAGCACCCTGCCCAGACAAGCTAAGATTCAACCAATGGACCAAATGCATATTGAATCTTGGTCACTTGCCACCAGAGGTACATTGTACATATGCTAAGAAGAATTTTCAAAGCTGCCAAATCAGTCTCTGCTAACAACATATCCTTTTATAGGAGATGCAAGATTACACAAGGTGCCCAGACTCCTTTTATCTTTTTTACAGGGCCCCAGGAAGATGATGAAGCAGCTCTACTGTACTTTGGTTTTTACAGAGTACCTTGAGTCTTACCTATAAAGCAGCTTTCTGCCACCAGTGCACTAAACAGGACTAAAATGGTTAATACCTGTTTCTATCCCAGACTTAAACACTACACCATTTCAGCAGAGTTCAGCAATTTTATTGATGGTTTCCAATGTCCCTTTATGACTGGGCATTTTCCAACATGAACTGAGCCAGGATCTAAAAAGAATGACTAACAGCTTTTTCAAGGAACAGAGTTGTGTTCTACACCTAGCAAGTAAACCTGTTGCTGAAGCTCTGCTAGTTTTTCCTGCTCCTCTTGTTCTTTGCAAACTCTCTCCTCTTCAGCTTGTCTTTGCTGTTCTTCATCCTCAAGTCTTTTTCCTTCTTCCAGTCTGTTGAGCTCCTCCTCCTTCTGAGCTTTATCTTCGGTTTTCTTTACAATTTCTTCTTCTTTGCTCCTAATGTTCAGAAATGGATTACAGACCAGGTATTACTTATTTTAAGCATGAGAGAGTTGAAAGCTTCTGAAAGATGCCCAAAGGTATGTCTAAATTACAGCTAGGAGCATGCTATACATAGCAGCATGGATGCTATCATGAGGACTGATCCAGGGGATCAGTTGGGCCTGTACTTGGGCAGCTAGCAGTGCCGCAGCATCCACACTGCTATTTTTACTGCACTAATCTGAGTGGAACTACAGCATTTGTCTACCTGGGTTGGGAGGCACAGTCCCAGTGGTAGTGTACCCAGACCCAACATCACAGCTCTGAAGACCAAAGTCAGTCAGTATCTGGCAGTTGCCAATAAGATGAAGGCAGGTTTGTGGGGCTCAAGCCAGGGAAGGAAATACTGGGGCGTGTCTTGCCAACCTGATTGTGAGCAGGGCAGCAATCAAGAGGGGCATTGCAGCCCAAAGACCGGGCTTTACATGAAGAGGGGAAGTTGTGGACAGGGCAGTAGCAGGGAGAAGTACCATGCAGTTCCATGGGCTTCCAGTATTCCCCCCCCCCCCATGGCTGCCAGGCTGAAGCCACTTCCCATTGACCTGCTACAGTCCTCCCCCTCCACCACAATCCCCACCTAACAATACTGGGACCGCAGCAGAACTGCCCTGTTGGGTGGAGAAGCAGCATCTACAGCTTATCTCCTATGTGGTCCAAAGTTGAATATAGGTCGCTTGGGCTGCAGCCAGGGAAGGAAGTGCTGGGATGATCTGAGGTCTAGCTGCAGGCAGTATTTCACCAAGCAGGGAAGACATGCCCCACTGTTTCCTTGCTGGCAGCTAGAGCCTTTCTTCAAAGAAGTAGTTTTCAGTAAGTACTGTCAGTATCTGAGTCCCATTAACATTAAAGTCAATGGGACAGGGATTGGCTAAATGTTGCTATTAACCAGAAGTTGTTAATATCACGGTTGTTAAGTGGCAACTGCTGTGTTTAAAGCTATGTAACAGATAAACATAAAGCAGCAAACAATAAAAGTTTACACCACCACCAATTCTACCAGTGTCTGTTTAAAAACTACGATCTGGAACATAAGAACGGCCATACTGGGTCAGACCAAAGGTCTATCCAGCCCACTACCCTGTCTACCGACACTGGTCAATGCCAGATGTCCCAGAGGGAGTGAATCGAACAGGTAATGATCAAGCGATCTCTCTCCTGCCATCCATCTCCACCCTCTGACAAACAGAGGCCAGGGAAATCATTCCTTACCCATACTGGCTAATAGCCATTAATGGACTTAACCTCCATGAATTTATCTAGTTCACTTTTAAACCCTGTTATGGTCCTATCCTTCGCAATCTCCTCAGGCAAGGAGTTCCACAGACTATGCGCTGTGTGAAGAACTTCCTTTTATTTGTTTTGAACCTGCTGCCCATTAGTTTCATTTGGTGGCCTGTAGTTCTTATATTATAGAAACAAGTAAATAGCTTTTCCTTATTCACTTTCTCCACACCACTCATGAGCTTATACACCTCTCTCATATCCCCCCCTTAGTCTCCTCTTTTCCAAGCTGAAAAGTCCCAGTCTCTTTAATCTCTCCTCATATGGGACCCATTCCAAACCCCTAATCATTTTAGTTGCCCTTCTCTGAACCTTTTCTAATGCCAGTATTACACAGTATTCAAGATGTGGGCGTACCATAGTTTTATACAGGGACAGTAAGATATTCTCCATCTTATTCTCTATCCCTTTTTAAATGATTCCTAACATCCTGTTTGCTTTTTTGACGGCTGCTGCACACTGCGTGAACGTCTTCAGATGTAACTGAAAACAAATAAAAAGCTATTACTGCAGCTGAGCCCCTGCATCTGGATCTTTGTTATCTGCAAACATTAGGGTTGGAATACTAGAAAAAAAAAAGGAGTTCAATTTGCAGAAGCTCTGCACAATGAGATACTAAATTCATCAGCATGTTCTCACATTTAATATCCTTGTGACATACAATTCACTCCCCACCACACTCTTGCTGAAAATGAAATCATATATATAGTAGCCCAGTGTCTGAGAGTCTGTAATCAGCTGTCTAGACGCGGATCTGTAAAAAATAAAGCCTTTTTCGACAGATCCTGTATTCCTCAGAAAATGAGGTTTATAGGATCTGTCGAAAAAGGCTTTGACAGATCCGCGTCTAGATTGCCGTTTTTTTTTTTTTTAAACCTCAATTTTGAAAAAAGCGGCAGCAATGTTTATGCTAATGAGGCACAGGATATTTAAATCCCAGCTTCATTAGCAATTTCAATGTGCTTGATTTGCATCCCTCTGTCGACAGAGGGATGCAGTCTAGACATAGCCTAGTTGCGGTTATTTTCTCCAGTGTGCATTACTTTACATTTGTCCACATTAAATATCATTTGCCATTTTGTTGTCCAATCACTTAGTTTTGTGAGATCTTTTTGAAGTTCTTCACAATCTACTTTGGTCATAACTACCTTGAGCAGTTTAATATCGTCTGCAAACTTTGCCACCTCACTGTTTACCCCTTTCTCCAGATCATTTATGAATAAGTTGAATAGGACTGGTCCTAGGACTGACCGTTGGGGAACACCACTAGTTACCCCTCTCCATTCTGAAAGTTTACTATTTATTCCTACCCTTTGTTCCCTGTCTTTTAACCAGTTCTCAGTCCATAAAAGGATCTTCCCTCTTATCCCATGACAACTTAATTTACGTAAGAGCCTTTGGTGAGGGACCTAGTCAAAGGCTTTCTGGAAATCTAAGTACACTATATCTACTAGATCCCCCTTGTCCACATGTTTGTTGACCCCTTCAAAGAACTCTAATAGATTAGTAAGACATGATTTCCCTTTACAGAAACCATGTTGACTTTTGCCCAACAAATTATGTTCTTCTATGTGTCTGACAATTTTATTCTTTACTATTGTTTCATTGGTATCATCTGTAAACTTAATAAGCGTACTCTCTATCCCAATATCTACATCACTGATGAAGGTATTGAACAGTACGGGTCCCAAAACAGACCCTTGCGGAACTCCACTTGTTATCCCTTTCCAGCAGGATTTAGCACCGTTAACAACAACTCTCTGACTCCGGTTATCCAGCCAATTATGCACCCACCTTATCGTGGCCCTATCTAAGTTATATTTGCCTAGTTTATCTTGGGTGAATGTCATCCAGTCCCAGTGACTTGTTACTGTTAAGTTTATTAATTAATTCCAAAACCTCCTCTAATGACACTTCAGTCTTTGACAAGTCCTCAGATTTGTCACCTACAAAGGACGGGTCAGGTTTAGGAATCTCCGTAACATCCTCAGCCGTGAGGACTGAAGCAAAGAATTCATTTAGTTTCTCTGCAATGACTTAAAGACAATAAAGTGCTCCTTTTGTATCTCGATCATTCAGGGGCCCCACTGGTTGTTTAGCAGGCTTCCTGCTTCTGATGTACTTAAACATTTTGTATTACCTTTTGAGTTTTTGGCTAGCTGTTCTTCAAACACCTTTTTGGCTTTTCTTATTACATTTTTACACTTAATTTGGCAGTGTTTATGCTCCTTTCTATTTACCTCACTAGGATTTGACTTCCACTTTTTAAAAGTTGTCTTTTTATCTCTCACTGCTTCTTTTACATGGTTAAGCCAAGCCACGGTGGCTCTTTTTTAGTTCTTCTATGTTTTTTATTTGGTGTATACATTTAAGTTGGGCCTCTATTATGGTGTCTTTGAAAGTGTCCATGCAGCTTGCAGGGATTTTACTTTAGTTACCGTACCTTTTAATTTCTGTTTAACTACCAGAAACCTCCTCATTTTTGCATAGTTCCCCTTTTTGAAATTAAATGCCACAGTGCTGGGCTGCTGAGGTGTTCTTCCCACCAGAGGAATGTTAAATGTTATTATATTATGGTCACTATTTCCAAGTGGTCCTGTTATAGTTACCTCTTGGACCAGATCCTGCGCGCTACTCAGGACTAAATCGAGAATTGCCTCCCCTCTTGTGGTTTCCAGCACCAGCTGCTCCAAGAAGCAGTCATTTAAGGTATCAAGAAATTTTGTCTCTGCATCTCGTCCTGAGGTGACATATACCCAGTCAATATGGGGATAGTTGAAATCCCCCACTATTATTGAGTTCTTTATTTTGATAACCTCTCTAATCTCCCTAAGCATTTCACAGTCACTATTACTATCCTGATCGGGTGGTCGAAAATAGATCCCTACTGTTATATTCTTATTAGAGCAGGGAATTACTATTCATAACGATTCTATGGAACATGTTGATTCATTTAAGATTTTTACTTCATTCGATTCTAATTTCTTTCATATATAATGCCACTCCCCCACCTGCACGACCTATTCTGTCCTTCCAATATATTTTGTACCCCAGAATGATTGTGTCTCATTGATTGTCCTCACTCCACCAAGTTTCTGAGATGCCTATTATAGCAGTATCCTCCTTTAACACAAGGTACTCTAGTTCACCCATCTAATTTTTTAGACTTCTAGCATTTGTATTCAAGCACTTTAAAAGCTTGTCACTCTTTATTTGTCTGCCCTTTTCTGAGGTGTCAGATTCTTTATGTGAATGTTTTTCGCCTGATCTGGCCCATACTTTATCTTCTTCCATCCTCTCCTCTGACTAAAACCTAGAGAATCTCTATCAATAGATTCTCCTCTAAGAGATGTCTCTGTCCAATCCACATGCTCCTCTGCACCAATCGGCTTTCCAATAGAATAGAAATCATCTGTGTACAGAAAGAGAATTCACCTTCTTGGACAATTCTATGCACTGCATGCACACTACCTGCCATCCAACATGTGCCATCTCAGTAATCACCACATAGACTTCTTGCATTCACTCTGCCATTATACACTACCATCTGTACCTGCCTCGCTGCAGATTCTCACATGTAGCTAAAATACAAGCCAGCCAGGTTTACATACCACACAAAATATTTTTTTCTGATATTTAATTAAAAGTTACCTTTCCTCCCCTTCTTTCTGAATTCTTTCCTGGTCTTCACGCTCCTTTTGCTCCCGGGCAAGACGTCGTTTCTCTGCTAAGATTTTAGCGGCTTCTTCGGCTGTTGTGGTTCCCAGAATAGTTTTGCTACTAGATTCTGTAATTTGCAAGAATGTGCTGTTATATGTCATCATCCACTTCAAAATATACCTTCACCACTGTGACATTAAGGTGTAACACTTCTTTGTCCAACTACCCTACCATCATTAACATAAGTACTCAACCAATCATTCGGCACACCTCAACACATAGGGAGTCCGGGAGAAAGTCCTAACCAATTGAAAGAAAGCAGCAACAGGATCACAGTATCTTATTTACATTGCAAACATATACTAACTCATTCCAACAATACATCATGAAAATAGCCAAAGGTGTAACTACTGAAAGTACATTGTTCTAGTCCAGGAGTCAGCAACCTACAGCACGCATGCCGTAAGTGGCACACGAACTGATTTTCAGCAGCACACGGGGTGGGAGCTCAGCCCCACTCTCCTCCCCCGTGCAGCTGCTGGAGAGCTCTTCCTCTTCCATGCAGCAGGTTAGGCTGCAGTGGGAGGAGGCAGCACTGGGGCTGAGGCTCCTCAGCAGTGCCTCTGGAGCCAGCCTGGGACCAAGTGGCTGCAGCACCTCTGGGGCTGCCCTGGGACATGGTCGCAGTACCTCCGGGGCCAGCCTGGGACCACATGGGCATGGCAATTACTGGAAGGGGGTGCAAAGCCAGGTAAGCATCTCCTCTGATGTCCAGTCCCCCATCCGCAGCTGAGTACAGTAGGACAGGCTGGGCACGGTGACCATATTTTCTAAACAAGCTGCAGGTAGGGAGAACGGTTTAAATTAAATTAAGCATTTTAACTTTGTTAGTTTATTAAAATTCATTTTAAATAAAGTAAAATATTAATTTGTGTCCAACAAAAAAGGTTTTAATGTTTTTTTTAATTTATGGCAGAGGTGGGAACAAGAAGCATTCATAAAAACCATTCTGAAAAGCCACCTGACTAATTTATACTGCAAACAAACCCCTTGTTTTTAGGGGCTATCCCTACCTCATTGATGTTATACTGGTTTTAATGTAAGTGATATCTTAACTTTAGGACATTTAGGACCTGATTTTCAGTTGCTGTAAATCAGCGTATTTCCACATAAGTCAATATGCCTATGCCAATTTATACTAGCTGAGATTCTTCCCTTGTTTTTTTTTTTTTAAGTATTCTTAGAGATGGGCAGATAACTGCAAATGTAAACACTGATAAATTCTTCAAGTCCAAATGATTAATATTTGAAAAAATTCTTCAAATATAAAAAAATTAGACTCATTTCAATAAGCAAAACAAACTCACTGACAAAGTGTTTTGCTTCTATCCTGAAAAAAAGACATTACATGACAACTTCTGTGAGATTCAGACACTGTGTATAAGTTTAAGATAATATACTGAGAAAGATTTTTCAAGAGCTGGGTACAGACTGAACAGTCATTGTCCACAGATTGTAGAGTGAAAGCATCAGCTGCAAACTGCAGAATCAAGACAAATTTTGTGCACACAAATTGTGCTTGCAAAACTGAGGCGGTATAAGTGTGTACATAGGATACAATTTCCTAGATGACACTGCCGGAGTTTATTTTTAAATGTAATTCAGATTAATACAATCTTCAGGGGCATCTCCAGGGCTTTTATCTTCGACTTAAAAGATACAATCACACCAGTACAAGCAAGAATCAAACTATCACCACCAAGCACAAAAACTAGTCTGTCAAACGATTATACTCAACCTCTCCAAGCAACACCAAACTACACAGACCATCTCTCTGCACACACCTACCTTCCAAATTGTACAGAAGAGCAGTCAGGACAGTTGCAAAGACTGATTCTAGTACCAACTGATTCTATCTCCTCAAATAAAAGCTTTGTCTGCTTAGGAGGAAGACTGACTCCATTAACAATATTAAGGGGAAGTTTCTTCCTCCCAACATTCCCAAATTTTCATACAATTAATAGCTTAAGAAAGAAAAACTTAAGTTGATTACACACAGTACAGCATGTATGTGCAGAGTTAACTTTCTATACCTCAGAGAGAAGCTAAAGCTTGCATCAGGCATTCATTCACGCTTTAGAAATGGACCTGGGGAGGCAACCATACAGTGGCAGAGGGTTGTTCACTTCTTGTCATGAATTCTGGTTGCTACTGCAGGCTAGTGTCTAGGACACTGTACTGGGAGTCAAGACACCTGAGTGCCAATAGCAGCTCTATCTCTAGCCTATTATGTGTCACCAGTCCAGTCATTTCTCCTCTGTACCTGTTCCTTCACCTCCTTGATCTGCCTCATCTGTAGGCATTATAAGCTGTCTGGGGCAGTTACTGTCTCACTACAAGTATGTACAGCACCTAGCACAATGGGCCCTAATCTAGGCACTACTATAATATAAACAGCAGCAGCAGCAGCTAAGACAATGGGATTCTTAGCTTTGCATGTAAACTGAGCAAGTGTAAGTCAATAAAACAGTGATACCATCAGTAATGAATTATTGAACTTGGGAAAACTTATTGCAAAACTAAGCCTGACTATATTCCAATGAAGGATGCAAGAATTCAGCAGAAAATCTCTACCTGAAGCAATATCATTTTAGGATGACAAGTGACACACCACCACACAAAATACTGTCCAAGTACAGGCAGTCCCCGGGTTACGTACAAGATAGGGACTGTACGTTTGTTCTTAAGTTGAATCTGTATGTAAGTCGGAACTGGCATCAGCCGCTGCTGAAACTGATCAGTTAGGATGCAAGAATTCAGCAGAAAATCTCTACCTGAAGCAATATCATTTTAGGATGACAAGTGACACACCACCACACAAAATACTGTCCAAGTACAGGCAGTCCCCGGGTTACGTACAAGATAGGGACTGTACGTTTGTTCTTAAGTTGAATCTGTATGTAAGTCGGAACTGGCATCAGCCGCTGCTGAAACTGATCAGTTTCAACAGCG